TGTCATTCGTAAGCCTTCTGTGTAGAGGTAATAATTGAAATCATAGGTGTCAATGCAGTCGTCCAGGGAGGCGCTATGTAAATAAATATGGAATGACAAAGGTGCTAATTTTCTGCCTCCCACATATGAAGAGATAGATACTAATTTTTTTATGTCTAAACTTTTTAAAGTTTTTAAAGCAGACTCAACCTCTCTCAAGTAATCATTCATATGTATCTACCTGCAATAAATATCTAAAAATGTCAAGACACCTGGTAAAAATAAAATGTAGGAGAAGAAAGTTTTGCTATATTATCAAGACACAGAAGGGAGTGAAAATCAAAGCTAACTCTTTATTTGACTGGGCCAAAGCCATCACATAAATCAAACAAACTTAACTTTGCTTTGAATTGATTTAAAGTTAAAAAAAACACTTGTGAAAAAAATTTGTCAGAAAATTTGTTGAATTTTATGGACACAAAGTTTAAACATGCCTGTACTATGTTCAAACAAAGCTCTCTGGGTTGTCTTATTTCCCTACAAGAGACAAAATCTACTTTTATGCATTTTTCATATTCATTAGCAGTGGATTCAAATACCAGTTGCTTATCCTACTGTGTATCAGATTGAAGTCCAGCAGAAAGCATTCATCCTGCAGGGCATCCCCGAGTGAGTCTAGAATTGAAGTGGTCTATTCTAGGGAAATATTGCTAGAATGGGGGATAAACAGGGCTCTGTGATTAGTGAGTTCCCAGTAGGTACATTCTGGAAAAAGAGATTATGAATTTTTCTTATGAACCATTAAATATGAATTGATACCTGTAAAATATTTACATGCTAAGTCAATATTTATCAATTACTTTAATTACTGTGGAGCACAAATCACGTAATAGCTATGATCACTGCATCAGTGATTGCATGTTATTTTAACCCTTAGATTGTCCCTTTGCCCTGTTTTTTTTTTTAATGAATACCACATACTTTATTATTATTATTTTATTATAAAGATGTGGGGTACAATTCAGGGTTAGGTATACAAACGTTGATTATGCAGGCACCCTTGTTGATGAGGTATGCCCCTCCCTCCCCTAGCAGTTTCCTTCAACTGCCAATCCCACCCCCTCCCCTGACAGTTTCCCATTACTGCCAGATGCTTTCTTATAGTATTATAATTGTTCAAGTTTCGCTTATGAGTGAGAACATATGGTACTCTGTTCTTTGTTTCTGTGGTACATCACTGAGTATGATCGACTCTAAATCCATCCAAGTCGCTGCGAAATCCACGTGTTTGTCCTTTTTTATGGCTGAATAATATTCCACTGTGTATATGTACCACATTTTCTTTATCCAGTCCAGCTTCGATGTTTGCCCTGGTTTTAGTTGGCTCTGTAAGGAAGATGCTCGCCCAAGAGAAAGCTGTCTTTCTTTTTAGTTCTAGTAACCAGACCCCTGTACAAACTATGGAGGATGTACATTTCATTGATGATGGCAGAAGTGCCAGTGCTGATTAAGAATGTTTATGCTAAACTCAAATTTTCTCTAGGGTGGAAATTTTAATAACAAAGGAGTTGTTCAAAAGTATAAAAAGGAGTAAAGGAGGAAAAACTGGTGCCTAGCGTATTCACATGCCAGAATGTTCACTTTTAAAATCTGTGAGTCGTCTTTAAGTTGACTAAAACCGCAGACCTGGCTTGTGACTCTTCTCGTAACCTGTTAGTTAGGCTGTTCCATGACTGGGGTACAATGCTTTCCTCCGATTAAGAGGTCCACAGCTTCAGCTAAAGGAAGGCACTGAGAAGCCACTTCCAGGAGTGTCAGAGCGCATGGGTTTTGGTGGGTTTGTGGTTTGGATTTACCACTGATCAACTCTGTGGCCTTGGGCACTTTAATCCTCCCAGTGGAGTATTTGTTTCTCTTCCTGAGGAAGGCTTTGCTCCTGGATAGTTAGATCAGGTTTCAGCAGGTCATCTGTGTGCTCGGCATGTCAGCTGAGTCTGCGTAGGTTGCTCTTTTTGCCTTTGGAACGACTGTTGAGCTCAGGTGTTAAGAGAAACATCTGCTGAACAGGAACCTGGGTCCTGGCGTTTTCGAGCTATGCAAAACAGAACAAGTTATTTCCTCTCTTTGTACCACATTTTTCCCCCAATTAACTGATGGAGATATTTATGTAACTTACCTCTCAGTGTAACTGTGAAGATGCAGAATGACTAGATGCATGCAAAGCACGTAGGGCAATACATTTGTTCTTGTTACTACTATTATTATTTATCTCATGCTAAATTTGAAGCCCTTATCTACTCCTGTCCATATTCATCATGAAACGTCTATTTATTCTCTACGCTACCCAGCACATGTGACACAGGAAAAAGTTGAAATCCAATGCATTCACCCGGGGAGAGAAATCTTGTAATGGACCCTTCTTCTTTTTTTTTTTAATCAATATTTTTTATTTTGATATTGTGGGGTACAGTTAAGGGTTAGGTATACAAATATGCTTCATTCAGGCCCCCTTGTTGATAACAGGTGTCTCCCCATCTCCAGACAGATGTTTACTACCATTAGTCCCATCCCCCGCCATAGTTTCCCAACACTGTCAGTCATTTTCTTATAGTAGTGCATTGGATGATCCAGGTCCACTATATGAGTGAGAATATATGATACTCAGATCTTTGTTTCTGTGAGAGGTCACTTGGTATTATAGACTCTAGCTCCATCCAGGTTGCTGCAAAATGGCAATTATCAACAACTCAAAAAATAACAGCTGTTGGAGAGGGTGTGGCGAAAGGGGAACACTTCTACACTGTTGGTGGGAGTGTAAACTAGTGCAACCTCTGTGGAAAGCAGTGTGGCGATTCCTAAAAGCTCTAAACATCGACCTCCCATATGACCCCGCAATCCCCCTACTGGGAATATACCCTGAAGAACTGAAATCACTCTATCGAAAAGATACCTGCACGCAAATGTTTATTGCAGCGTTGTTCACAATAGCAAGAACCTGGTCCATCCAAAGAGGACTGTATTAAAAAAATGTGGTACATATACACGATGGAATACTATGCAGCCATAAAAATGAACCACTTTCTTAATCTCCCTTCACTGAAGTCACAAAGGGTTCTCTCTCTCCCCTACCTTTTCCAGTGACGGTCTCCCCCAAGACTATTTTGCTCACTATCCTCTTTCACTCTACCAGGTCCTACCTCGTATGTGCTAGACCAGTGATGGAGGGGGATGATTCTGTAGGGCAGTGTGTGAGTATGTGTGTGTGAGTGTGTGTGTGTGTGTGTGTGTGTGTGTGAGTATGGCAGTGTATGGAAGAGTATGAGTGTGTGTCTGTGTCCGTGTTAATGTGTGTGTGTATGTGAGTGTGTTAGTGTGTGTACCTGAAAGAATGCTAGTGTGTGGATCTGTGGGTGTGTCAGTGTGTACAAGTGTGTTCGAGTGTGTGTGAGTGTGAATGTATATGTTTGAATGTGAATGTGTTGTGTGAGGAAGCATTAGTGTGAGTGTGTGAGTGTGTGTGAGCGTAGGTTGTATGTGTGTGAGAATGTGTGTAAATGCGTGTGCAAATCAAAGTAACAAGAGGAAAGTTGTTTTATACTGATGATAAGACAATTATTGCAGTGTCTTATCATCAGTGTAAGACACTTATGTAACTTTCATGTCTTATAAAAGTTATAGCATCAGCGTGGTAACTTTTAGAATGAACAGGCCCTCGGGAGGAATGCCAAATTTCAGAACTGACTTCGAGTTCGACTGAAGGCAGTTTGAAGTGCTCATACCTTTCCAACTGCCCCCTTTTCATTCTATTGTAATTACTATGCTTTTTCACTATCTGAAATATTCTCCCCATAATAATAATGATTCTGTAAGAAAGAAGTCCAGGAAGGAAGTAAAAGTATCCTTGTTCTTAAACGTTTTTATTTTCGTCCTTCGAAAGTGTCTTGAATTGTGATTAAATAAATACATCTCAGACAAACACAAGGCACCGAGTCTCTCCTGGACTTGCTTCCTGTCGACAACGTCAAGTGTTGTTGACGGTGTCCTCCTTCAGGGATGTATATGTCCTCCTTTGAATTCTGTGTGAAACTTGGTTTGTTCCTTTTCAAGATGACTTCGTGTCTGAGGTGCTTTCTGCAGCAATTCGCAATAGACTGCTGTCTATCGCTGTTGGTTTTATTGGAAAAAAGCTGTATTCTGAGTTAGATGCAGGGCATCTATTTACATTTTATAAGCGGAGTATGCAGGTTTACCGGTGGATTCTGCTGCTTATTAGTAAGATTTGCTTTGTGAAGCTCTGCTCAGCTCCCGGCTTTGGAAGCATACTTCTCCATTTCACTGCAGAATTTCTGAGGGAAAACGCAAACCTTCCTGTCTTCAGTTCTGTTGCTTCAAGAGGAACCTTTTTGCAATGGCAGCTGTGGAAATACCTCCTGAATCAATTGCATGAAGGGAATATAGATGACCAAAAAAGTCCAATTCTAAAGGGATTAGAACAAGATACGGTTTTCAGTTTCACCATCCCCCAGCATTAGAATTAATTCCTTTCAAGTGTTTATCATGTTGCATCAAATAGTCCATTTTTGCCTTCACCAGCCAGGAAAATTTTCCATATTCTGAAATGTAAAAAAGCATGTGGTTTTCTGTAATATGTCTTATTATGGTTGTGATCTTAATTATTACGCTAGCTTCACTAATTTTAAAAGCCTTCATGAGTAGAAAAGTAATTTTTTCCCACTTTGCATCTTTCTGCTCAAGAGACTCCCTGAGAAAAGGGGAGTGTCATCATGGCCCTTTTTAGATGGGCTTTAGGTTTTCCTTGGGAATATAAGGTTTTAGACTTAGGGCTGTGAACAGCAGAAGAGATAAAAAAACTGAGTTTCTGATTTCTGTATCTGATGTAGAGCAATTGGAGTTGGTTAAATTAAATCCCCATTTTTAGCTGAAGCTATTGCTAACTCTTCAAACATTTTATTCAACTCACCAGCCCAGTTGGATAACCAACTTGATTTTGTGCCTTCTAGGTATATTTATTTCAACCAATTAGAAGCGTTACAGCCAGAGACCTTTGGAGACCTTCTGAAATTAGAGCGACTGTAAGTGTTGACCCTTTTGATGTCCCTTGTTTCTGCTGTACATTTTCTGTTTACATAACCCATCAGACAGCCCTGGAGAGCTGGGCACTTTGTTGCAAGCTTAAGAAGCAGATCCTGCACTTTGGCACTAGAAAACAGAGGTACTATAAGACATCCTGTAGTTTGAAAGCAATGAAGCAAAGGATAACCCATTAAAAATAGGGTAAAAGAGAAACAGGCACTTGTCAAATGAGGTAAAACCATTAAAAAAACTTATGGCAGAATCTACCACAATTGAACACATACCTCCCCTGTGATATAGCAGTTCCACTTCCAGACACACACATAACAGAAATGTGCACATAAGGGCACTGGGGTACGTGTCCTTGTGTTTACAGCAGCATTATTTCTGATCGCTTCACACTGCAAACTACCCAAGACTCTAATAAGATAATAGAGAAATGAGCTGTTGTATATTTATAAAGCTGAATACTATTCAACAACATGGATGAATCTCAGAAACATTCTGAGAATTAAAAACATCTATAACACTGAAGATTGTAGAGTTCTATTTTGTTCTGAAAAGAAATTTGAAAACAGTGGGATTATATGCAATATTGAGAAGCTGAATGGTGGTTACCTTTGATGGGACGGAGGTCATCGGAAATTCTGCATTTCCGGAAGTCTTTTGTGTTTTTAGTGTTTCCAGGGTGGTCATTACACAGCTTGGGCAATGGCAGTGTGCTCTGTATCATGATGTCTGCACTCTTCCAGATGAATGTTTTATTTCATCAAAGCTTTGTTAAATAAAGAATGACAAGCCACAGGGACACTTGGACAGTCCTTTTGTTTTGTGTTTTATCAGATGAAGATACTCTGATACTTCAGTTCTTATAATGCCTTATATTAACCGTGATTGTGTCCTTACCAGATGATTTTTTATTTTCAGAAAAGAAAATGCAGAAACACATAGCTAAACTTAATCAGGAATTTGTTTTCCTAAAGAAATTTGAGTTAAAAGCTTATAAACTTCAAAAAGAATGTCCTTAATTCATATAGAAGATGGGCCAGTTAAAATCAAAGTTAAGAAGAGCTAGTTAGTCATTTTCACAGGCAGTTACTTCAACCTCATTGTGTATGGAAGTACATCCAATGCATAAACGTACATGGCTTGCTTTTGTGCTGGGGATATGTGATGATAGACAGAACACCGGGCAGGAAAGTGTGTCGCACTCCGTTCCTGCTCTAAAGTGTGTGAGCCAGGAGACCTGCACAGGAAGGCTGTTACGCAAGACATGTGGCGGGGTCAAGGTTTAGCATCACAGTGACTAATAACTTCCAAAAACATGGGGCATCAACTTTAATTCTGGAAAAACTGTTTTGCTGATGATGAGTCAGGGTTGCTGCCCTTGTGTGTATCAAGGCAGTCACTAAACCACCAAGACTCTCAAAATCCTCAGTTACCAGACAGCAGCCCTGTCAACCACAGAGATGGGAAGTGGACAGCCCTGCTCTCTGAGGAGGTGTGGAAACCCTGAGGACTTCCCTGAGTGGTGGCGGGTCTTCCTTGACAGAAGGAGCCTCTTAACCTAAGAACCACAACTGGGTTCAGAGGGCTCGGGGAACTGACCGACTAGACATGCTGTAACGTTTGATGTCTTCCTTATGATTTATATAAATTCACATCGATTTTGACCTTCTAATATAGGCATGTGATATCAAATCATATAGCACAATAGAGCTTCTGAGAGAAAATTCAAGTCACACTCTCTCTCCAAAGACAGTTTCATTATCTACCTCTCTTTTATATTCTTTGGTTGTTGCCATCATGACTGTCTAGGTAGTGTTCTTTGATTTTTATTTCTTTTCTTTTCCACTGTGGATTATATTGATTGATTCCCACTCTGAAAGATGAGGGCTTACCTTGCCTCTGTGTCTGATCCCTACATTATTATTATTATAAGTTCACTTCTTGGTATACATTTTGCTTTCTAATTCTTGTTCCATTAATTTTGATAGCTTCTCTTGCTTCTCCACTTAAAATATTGGAACTACTGCCCAATTCCACGCTCTTTCTTGAATTTATCTTCTCCTTTTACATGTCTCCTAGTAGCTACATTATTATTTTTTACACTACTTAGATTTATAACGCTTTTATTATATCCTGTAACTACAACCAAATTTTTTGATGTTGACCATAAATTACCTCAAAAAATTATAAAACATATATTAAGCTCAATTATTGTAGGTTCAAAAAATGTGCTAATATTTTATCTTTCAAAAGGCAAATACTATGAACCTACTTCAAGAATAATCTTCTTTCAAGAATAATCTTCCTTCAAGAATAATCTTCCTTCCTTCCTTCCTTCCTTCCTTCCTTCCTTCCTTCCTTCCTTCCTTCCTTCCTTCCAAGAGACAGGGACTTCCTCTGTCACTCAGGGCTGGAAAGTAGTGATATAAGAGTAATTGTCTTAACAAAAGGGCAAATTGATACCCATTTCTTATATGATTTGAATTATTTAACATAATGTCATATGGGTTTGCTTCATATTTGAACAACTACTTTCTTATATAAATTTTTGCTTTTCCCGAACATTCAAATTGTAAGGCATTATGTGCCTTTGCAATATATTTATATTTTTCATACTGCCAAATCACAGAAACCATGCTGTTTCCTTTTTCCACCAGGAACCCTGTCTTCCCATTTGAACTGGTCTTCCATTAGGCTTAGTGTCAGCCACCATCAACCCGGAGTCTCCCTTTACCAATTGCTTGAGTTGAGTCTATGGTTTCCAGGATCCATTGTTTCTTTTTCTTGGTTTACTCTTCTGTTCTGCTGAAATACATATTCAAGCAACTTACTATGAATGGGCTTGAAGGAGATAGTTATAATAATTTTTGAGTGCCTGAAAATGGGTGTTTTCTCTCCTCATAATTATTTTATTATTCATCTAGTATAAAATTATAAGTTCAAAAACAATTTCTTTTGATCTTTTAAGAGTTTGTTCTATTTCTTTCAACCTGTTATGATTATTTTTATTTTATAGAAAATCAATTCTATTTTTTTGGGAAGTTTTAAAATTTTCTCTTTATTCTTTGTATTTTAATATTTTATGAACTTGTATCACAGAATGAGACTTTTCAATTATTGGAGTGGGTACTTCACGTATTCTTTCAATTTGAAGAGAAATCCATCCCAATTTTGAAGAATTCTTTTAAATTATTTATTTGACTTTTTAAAAATTCTTTCTATCTCTTCTTTTAGAAATGCCTTAATTGAACTTTATACTATCTGGATATCTACATTTTTAATATTTTCTTTTATAATATCTATTATTCTGTCATTTTGATTCCTAATCTGGTATAAGTTTTTACTTTATTTTTTAACATTCACTACTTAAAAAATTTGAAGCATAGTTTAATTCTTATGAGCTCTTATTTCCCATGTATTTCTCTTTCACAGCATTATATTTTTTCTTTTTAGGTATAATATATATTTGGATCTCTGTGTATGCAAGTTAATTATATTCTGTTTCTATTTTTAAGCTCTTTAAATTTATATGTTTCTTCTGGGGTTGGTTTTCCTTCTTGTTCTCTAGGTCTTTCTTAGGCTCTTAATTAACCTCCTATGCCTTGTGATTCTAGGTGGTCTACTTATATTTGAAAATGCTAGATGGGTAGCCAGCTGTCCTGTAGATAGGTTGTTTTCTTACAAAATTCTCCCTTCAGTGGGAATTTTAGTTTGGACAGTTGGGTGTAAAATGGCAGATTTATCTCCCTAGAATGCTAGAATGAGGATGGCTTTTTCTCTTGAGTTCCTGCTACACAAAAATTCTATTATATTTCTCCTTTCAATTTGTTCAGTTTCTTTCGAGCAATCTCTCTCTCTCATCTATAGCGACATATAAAAAAACCTTCTTAAAAAGCAGTTGGTGCTCTGGAAGGGGGTGGCAGCCACCAAGCATTGTATTTCTCCATCCATATTGTCGTGGGCCATTTGTTTTCCATCCTACCTCTTCCTCCTGTTCGCCTTCCCTAACTGTTTGGAGCCTCTGGGCCAAAGCAATCAGCTTCTTCCTGAGTCGTAGTATGCTCTGGGCTGCAGTTTTTTCTGCCTGTCTCATCTGGTCAACCCTTTCTTGTGTGTTTCCAGAATTGTCAAAATCTCTTATCTGTTGGAGTCCTTCCACATTCTGTCCTCTTGATTAATATGGGTTTATTTATTTGTTTTGGACGCCTGGGCAATAATTTTAGTGGAGACTTCAAAGAGATTGGGGCAAATTTGTATACTTAGTTCACTAGTTTGAACCACAATGCTTCTCCCCATAACTCTGAAATTTTAAAAATTTCATTATGAACATTAAATTATTCTATTAAAATATTTTTCAGTCCAAATGAATTTAGCATGACCTTGCCTGTAACTGCGCATCAAGTAAAGTGCATTCAACAGCGGCAACATGATGTCTAGTGTAGTTTCTTATCACTGTGATTTGATAAAAGCCCCCTTGTGATGCATTTGTAAGTACCAACCCCTGACACTCGTGTAGGAATGTTCTTTTCAGTGGGAGCATGATGCCAGTTCAGGCACAGAAAATCTGCATCTTCATTTTTTCTATGAATAGAAGGGTTCATCTGAAAATTCGAACTTTACCAAAGTTAGACTTTTTCCTAAAAAATAAGTCTTATCTTGAAACATAATAAACTGTTCATTTATTATGACTACATTGCAAAGCAGAAGAATCCCAGTGCATTCAGTGGAGCTGTGTAGGTTGGCTAATTTGGAGCTTGGTGCTCAGGCAGAAAATTGAAGTAATATCTCTGTTAAAGTATGTCAGACATTTCAGAATCTGGACCAGTTGGCTAATAATTCACAATTGGCATTAAAGAACATTAAAGCTATGCCATTTTTATCCAGTGCCATTTACAAATTTCACATTAGTGAGACTATGGACATTCATGGTAAAGACAGTCTTTGCGTTTGTCCTTTATGTGCATACTGATATTATCAAGCAATTATTCTG